TTAGCAAGTTTGTAGAATACAAGATTAAACTGCAAAAAAAAAAAACCTATGGCATTTGTACATAATAGAAATAATTAGAAACAAAAATTTTAAAAGAAAACATGATTAAATATTATCAGAAATATGAAATAGTGATAAATCTGATAAATGAGGTGCTAAGACTTATGCATTGAAAAGTACATAACAATGCTAACAGAAAATTTAAAAGACCTAAATAAATGGAAATTTATACCATGTCCATGGACTGTAGGACGGATTCAATATTTTTAAGATATCAATTCCTCTCAAATGTATTTGTAGATTCAATGCAACCCCAATTAAAATTCCCAAAGATTGCATGTTGGCAAATGAGTGGAGGAATTGTAATTCTCTTGCCTAACACTGGGTATACAAAAACTTACAAACACTACGAAAATAGTCGGAAGTTTCTTTTAAAAGTTAAACATATATCTGCCATATGACTCAGACATTTTTTCATAGGTATTTACGCAAGAGAAATAAAAGCAAACATATGTACAAATAAGGACTTTAGAGGAATGTTCATGGTACTTTTATTCGCAATAGGCAATGTCTGGAAACAACCCAGATATTCAACAAGAGATGAATAGAGAAATAAATTGTGGTATAGTCATACAATTGAATATTCCTCAGCAATCAAAAGGAATAAAATATTGATAGACATAAAAGAGTAAATGAACCTCAAAATAACTATGTTGAGTAAAATAAATAAGATTTTAAAAGTATTCAATGTATGGAACCTAATATTGTTGTGAGATTCTCGAACAGAGAGGGGGACACCGAGATTATAAGCAAGAAGCAGCATTTATTGATGTTGGCACCCACTCAGCAGATTCTCATCCAAAGGCTAAGCCCCGATTGTAACATGGTGGGTAGTTTTAAACAATCTTGTACTTCCTCATTCCTACACAGCTACAGATATCCCATATAAGGAAGGAGAACATAAGGAGAACTTTGACTGACTGCCAAACTATAAGGAAACCAGCTTAATAGTTTAAGCAGGTTTTTGGACTGTGCCATCAGCTGGAGTGTCCTGGGGAAGGAGGGGTCAGTCAGAAACTAATTCATTAGAGCAGGAAATGGTCAGTCAGGGTCAGGCTGCCACAAAATATAATAACAAAAAGCAAGCAGTTCAATGGTTGCCTGGGGGGATGAAGAGACAAGAAGGAGTGAGAGGGATGGAATACTGAGAGGCATAAAGAAATTTTTAGAGGTGATTGGCATGTTCGCTATCTTGATTTGGTTAATGGTTTCATGGACACATAATACAGCAAAACATCAAATTTTATCATTTAAACATAATGTTTTATTTGATGTCAATTTATACCTCAATAAAGATGTTAAAAATGTTTTAAAACATATGAAAACTAAATTTCCAATCTAGACAAAAAAGAAGTTAATGCCAGTAAGACATTTAATTAAAAAGCATAAATACCAAAATTGAATGAGCTAAAAATTAATGAAAGTTAAGAAAGTAAAAGAAGATCAATAACATCAGCAATATGACATAAAAGGTTTAAGGAATGTAAATGATTAAAAGAAGCTTGACTACTAGCATTTTTCAGGAAGTTTTTTTGCCAATATGTCTCAATGATAAAGGACAACTAGCCTGGCAAAGACAAACATAGAATTCAATCAGGATTGTGCCACAAAATGAGATTTTTTTTTCTGAATATTAACATTTATGCTCTCTCACTGAAATTTAATCCCTTTGTAAGCAGATTTTTACAATAATTTATACAACTATATGCTCACTTTATCCAAAACACCACATCTTTAAAGGTATTCTATGTTATTTAGCATTATCTATGACCACTCCTTCTAAAATGCCTTTTCTAATTCTCACTGTTTTTCAATTATAACTCTGAAAACTCCTTGTCCTTATTTTCAATGTTATCATCTTAACTGAGTATTCATTAGGGTAAGGTTTTGGGCTTTTCATTATTCATGTATGCATCCACCTATCCTTTCACTTACTCAATAAAAATGTATCAAGTGTCTACCTTTGCCAATCTCTGTGCCAGGTCCTACAGATATCTGGTAATCTAAATACACATAGTGGTTCCTGACCTCAAATATCATCTTCTACCTTAAGTCTTCCCTGCCTCCTCACATCATGTATATGTATAATTTTATTATTCTGCTATCAAGAGTATTTCTCTAAATAATATCTTTAGTTCTGATTGATATCAGAACCATATTAGGAAGTGTTGTGGTGTGATCAATTTTAAGACCCATGAAGCCAATTGAGATGAATTGTGAGCCTTTATTAGCCGGCTGGTGATTGACTCTCTACCACTCAGGGTCAGAGGAGATCAGCCCTGAGCTTCCAGAGGAGGCTTATAAAGCTTAAAACCATATCCTGGTGGTCTTCTGAACAAGCAAGCCAGCAGATTACAGAAAGCAGATGTTGGCTTAAACGTTTTACACAAAGACAAACATTTCCGGAGAACTCTTAGATCAAACAGGGCCTAGCAGGCAGTTTTGTTATCTGCATCCTTGTGGCTGTCAGTACTTTCCTGGAGGCTGGCGCCTGAAGATATCACTTCCCTGTGACTGATTTATTGGAAAGTTTTTCACTCCTACAGAAGGATATTTCCTAAACAAACCCTTCAAACCTGCAATCCCAATAATTTATCATTTTATTTATCAAAGTAAACTTTACACCTGACCAAATTAAACAGTCAAATAAGACTTTATTCAAGATTATTTTAGTAGGAGAGAGAGAGACCGAACTCAATTTTAATGAAACAAAAGGAAGGAGGGATTTTTAAACTCTGGTGTAAATAAGTAGAAAAGCCCTGGAGATTATAGGGGGTTGAGGATGATCTTGAGCATACTGAGTTATCAAATGCATTTCTCTGTGATTAGGTCATCATTGTTTGATAATTGGCACCCATTGAAGTTAGGTTCCTTAGTCCACAGAGACCAGAGATGGGAGTGCTATGTCCTTTGATATATACATTTCAAAGGGATGGTTCTCCAGTTCTTGAGAAAAACTTTTCTTATGTTGTAAAACCTTAAGAGGGTGGGCGAAGATTTACATATATTTCAAAGGAAGAGAGAAAAAATCTACAATTGCAAATTTTCTAAAGTAAATTCAATAAGAAAAGTGAAGTCAGAGGCCTAGTCAGAAAGGAATCTGTCTGAAGTTTAGTCAAAGCTGAGAGAAACTTTAAGGCTGTCTTGATTATATTTATTCAGTTGACCATTATAGCATTCTTAGAATCAGCAAGAAAATCAGGACTGCCATTTCAGTACAACATGACCATATTCTGTGTCAAAACTATGTGTGAGAGTTAAGGAAAAGTGGTTATTAGTACATGTCTTTTTTCCACTTCTAAATATTTCGAATCTTAAAACTCCCAAGAGAAAATAGGAGGAGAATAAGCAGAGAAGGGAAGAAGTTTGGGGTGAGGGAGAGGGAGGCAGAACAATATTTATATGGAAATTTCCACTCAAAGAAAATGTAAAACAGTTTTATAGCCAGCTTTACTTCATATAACTCTCCATGTTATATGAAGCTTTAATTCAGGAATTTTTGTCTTCTAGAATACTACAAAACTAGAAATAAGAACAACTGAAGAAATAGAAAAAAGAAATATATTGACTGAATTTATTTTTACTTAATTTAGGTCAAACAACAGCTTGACAATCCATTCATTATACAAGACTGAATCGAATTTCTTCATCTAAAAGATGCTTTTTACATTTTCCTTTTGTCCATATCTTATCTAAAGAAAGAAATATGTTAATTGGCACCTTTTTTCTCCTACTTGAGTATGTTTTGTCAGTAATGTCAAGAGATGTCTAGAAGTTTGGTCCAAGTTCACTGAAAAATTAAAGGACGATGATTTTGCTTCAAAATACAATAATTAAGAGTATTTTTAGACTATGGTTAACAAATTTTTCTGTGCATAACAATCAACTGTGAGGCAGGTTAAACACAGATAGCTGGGCCCCACCTCAAAGAGTTATTGATTCGCTAAGTCTGAACCCCAAGAATTTGCATTTCTAATAAGTCCTCAGGAGGTGCTAAGACTGATGTTTCAGGAACCACATTTTGCTCCTGAAAACTTTGCTGATTCATTTTATATAATAGTCAGCAAATGTTTTCTGTAAAAGGCAAATATGTCATGCTTTGCTGGTCAAGATGAAAAATTAAGGATGTCATGTATGGACATAAATAGAAGAGAGAAAATAATTTTTCATAAATTTCTAATTGACAAAAATGTAATAAATTTAATAATAATGGTTGTGTAAGCCCTAAATTGCTGGGAAAAGAATACCTATTATTGAGCTTCCTTGTGGGGTTTTATTTGAATAAAGAATTGCCTGGATATAAGAAGCTCTCCCTCTCTTAGACATTATTTATCCCTTTACTGTGCTACGAAGAGCTTCTTATTGTTCCTACTGAAAGAATTATTAAACTGTGTCATCCCAAATCGTCATCTCACAGGAATCAGTTAAACACATACAAAAAAGCATTAGGTAATCTAAGATTGGAAACCTTCACTTTTGAAAGGGAGAAAACATGCATTTTCTTTTAAGAAAGCATTAAGGCTACATATATAGAGATTTTGTTGTGTAACAAAAGGATATGTGAAGATAGACCTGATTATCATATTAAAGCTGGAAATATGGTCACATACATATATTTAGAGAGGAAGCAGAGCAACTCAGATAAGTAGCATAAATGTCTGGGTGGCAAAATGACCATAATGAGATTATAAGCATAAGAGTCTGTTCTCTTGGTTAATTAGTATGTTCATCCATCTGAAATACAAATAAAGTGAGCAGTCCGTAAATAGAAAAAATAGAGACTGTAAAGTATTTTTATTTATGTAAACAGTGGTATTTAGGATTTAAAAGTGCATATTTCTATTTAACATTGCAAACATTTTCTTTTTACCTACTCCTAAGTGGTAGATGCATCTCTGTTCCAGACTTTGATGCTCAACAGTACTTCTGTTATCCGGAGTTTATATGCAACACTGATTTCTCCATTTAATGCAGTATCCGTAATCATACTCATCATCATCACAAAATGTTTTACATATTCCTTTCACTTTTTCGCATCTCTGAAATCTATACTTTGGTTCAAAGTTACTTCTGGCTGCAATTGATAAAGATAAAGTCATCAAACCAGTGTTTCATCTGGGGGCCTTCATATTAAGGGGAGAAAAAAAGTATGTTCTAGTTATGATATCCGATTGGGTAGGATAAATAATAACTAAACTTTTATTTTAAGCATTTAATTTCACTAATCTTTCTCCACATAGCTGATGTATTTATTGTCCAAAAGTTAAGCTAATTTTTTTCTTTGGCCACCAATATATCATCTCTAGTCCACATATAATAACATATGAAAAGTTCAAATAGAAATGTGTTCTCACAAGACATAGAAAATATATTGACTACCTGAAAACGTCACTGATTTTTTTATCGTTGTTTCCATTTTCATTTTTGTATTTCTGTGAAAATGGGTACTTAATTATAAACTAGTGGTTCTAAACCAGTGTTTCAATATCAGGCTCCTCAAAGAGGATATTTAGCAATGAAGGTAGACATTTTCGATTATCACTATTAGTGAAAGGAGTGCTATTGGCATCTGGTGGTGAAGGCCAGGAATGCTGAGAAATATCTTGCAGCTAAATATACAATCAATGCGCAGGACAGCTCCCACAACAAAGAATTGTCTGGACCAACATATCAATAGCGCTGAAGTTGAGAAATCCTGTTTAAATGAATATCGCAAAAATACTTTTGAGGATATTTATACCATAAGGGAACATATTAGCAATCAAAATCTTTTTTATGTTATTAAAATACATAAAAGATAATACATGTAAGGTTCCAATGTATGCTTAGCAAATAATTGTTTCATAATGGGAACTCATGTTTATTAAAATGAAACTGAAAATTAAACAGTTCTTTGTGATGAAAATATATCTAGAAATGTTATTAAAATAAAATAATTGTCTCTCTGTGCATATAACTATAACAGATAGTAGTTATTATGAACATAGACCCTTAGATCTCATATCTACATTTAGAAAATAAAACGAGATGCCCTAATAAAAAAATACCAAGAGAGTAGCTGGAGACTGGAAATTCTTTGGCTTCTCATTTGCTTCCGAGTCTAAGTCTGGTCCACATATATGTATTTAACAAATTTTCTTTACTTTAGTTAAATTACCAAAAAATGATTCAATTTTATGTTGGGAGAAGACAAGTTTCTGTTTTTATTACTATGTTGTGGTATTGATAATTTATAAAAAATCTGAATTAATATAAATTACTAAATTATATTTTTAAACTCATAAAAAGATTTTGCATTTTTAATAGAAACTGTATGATACAGAGGTATGGTTGAGAGTATTGTGGGGGAATGCTGTGTACCTTCACGGGAAATAGTAAGAAGAGTTTTGGTTGAATGGAGCCAAAGAGTAAAAATTACTCTTTCTTTCGCTACCTCCTCGACAAGGTTAGTTCCCAGGACTGAGGAGCTACATTCGGCTACCATTCATAGTTTCTGACTTCCTTTGTCAAAATATTTAATTATGTATAGCCTCTTCTCCTTTATGAAATTCTTCTCTTCCTTTCTTACTTCCTCTCTGTTTCTTGATACATATTTTTTCTCCATGACATATAAATAAGGATAGAATTTGGGGTTCATTGTGATTTTCCTCTGCTCTTCTATTCTTACTTTCTGATCATTCTCTCGCATGGGCTCTGTCTCTCTCATGAGAAGGATCTGCATTCTTAGCATCTAGTCTCTCAAGCCCATTGGATTTGTACTTTTTTCCATAGGATTATCTATAGAGCACTGTTTAACAATAAAATAACAGCGTGTTTCTATTGCAGGCTTGTATCTCAGAAATCTGTTCCTCCCATTTCTTTGATCTAAGGTTTCTCAGAACAGAACTTACATTGACTCACACAAGGCAGATAAAACTTTGAGCATCTTTCATAAAATAAATTCTGCTTATTCTGGTACCAAGAGATCAAGAGAAAATGCAATGTAAAGGCACCAGATACATGTGTGGCATGAACCACTTCTGAATGGTTCAATATTAAATTTTATTTAATTCTTCGTGTATTACAGACATACACAGGCCTTGAAGATTGTGCTGGGAAGACTTAGTATGACTGGTCCTCTCTCTTCTTGGCCCATGTGTCTCTTTTCTTCTGTCATCTGTATTTCTGCAAGCAGCAATGTGTTGCAGGTCTCATGCAGTAAGCAATTCTAATTTCATTTTCATGGCACTCAAGTTTACATCGACCATTACCCTTTTTGCACTCTCTCCTTAAATCCAAGCTACCATATTGGGGATATTTCTTTCTGGCTGTAAGAAGGAAAGAATGACTGAAATTAGCAACCTAGCTATGACACGTCCATATTTTAAAAGGAGAAAGATCAAGAACAAAAGATTGTAGAATAGAGCAAAAGAAAAAGCCCCCTTTCTAATTGCTGACAGTGAAAATCTTACTGAAGAAAGTTTAAGTAAATGTACCATCCCTTAGTGCAAGGTTAATCCTGGAAATTAGAAAGTGTCTTGCACCTAAGTGAGTTGTGCCAGCTTGCTGCTTTACAAGTTATTAGATAATTCAAGGACAGTTCCCAAAGTCAACATGAAAAAAAGATTTTACAATTTATCTTCTGTCAAACTCAGTCTCTACAGTTATGTAATTGCATTTGGGTTCCCCCTTTTCTGCTTTCACAAACATTATTTATACTGAATATGCTTTATGAATTCTTTCTACTGCAGCTCAATTTTACTTTTCTAAAACATCAGATAAGAGACAATATTAGGAAATTTATCTGAATTCCTATGACTTCCCTTAGATATTTTGGGATTTACTTCCCCCAAAAAATGATTTAACTTAGACACATATCTGATGACAGCATTGATTTTTAAAAAATGGGAATGTCTACAAGGAGTGGCCATTGTTGGACATTAAAAAATTTCTAAAATTACCAGTGCCCCAAGCTACATGTTTTATCTTGTAGCTTGGAGATTGACACTCACCAGAAGCTTAATTTTTAGGATAGTTGGAGATAGTTGTGGGATGTTGTGGGATGTTGGTCCAATAGACTGTAAGATCCATTCTAAGCGAAATATATTTTGATTTTATATTTCACATTGTATACTGGCTGTCACTTAGTGCAAGGTCAATCCTGGAGATCAGAAAGTGTCTTGGACCTAAGTGAGGCCTTTCGTTTTGGAGTCTTAAACATCACTTTTGATATGTAACAGCTTTATTTATATAGTGAGATAAAGGGCAACTGGTATGGGAGAATTCTAAATTTCTCAGGTGTCTGATCAAAAGGCAGACTCAAGTATTTTCATATATTTGTGGTGTAAAAGCAAATACATTTTACCACTAGTTTCTGCCATTAATTGAGGTCCAGTGTCCCAAACAGTCCCTTTATAAGCCAGGTCTTTCTTCCTAGACATTCTGTCTCCATTTCCAAAAGTTGTTGGAAAGTAGTGATACTTAGTGAATACCAAGACTCAAGCTACACTTATCCACATTGGTATAAACAGTTGATATAAAAACCTAGGTCTTCCATTAAATTGAGCTCTCTTCTCACTATAACTGAAGTAATGCAGAACATGGCTTAGAGCAGAAAAAAAAAGTTACTCTGCACAGATTAAATATTAATTTCTTAATATTTACTCTACAATTTCTGAGGAGTTACTATTAGTAAACCTATTATAATTTGCTAGTGACAGAAACCTGAATTATACTCACTTTAGACTGAATTCTGTCACATTTGACACTATTATCCAATATCCCACCTTAAATTGATCTCACCCTTTCTTTTATGAGTTTTTTGTCTTATAGCACCTTTCTAAAAATATTGTCTTCTTTCTCTTCATTCTGACCTCTAAATATGAGTATTCCACAAACTTGTGTCTTTGGATCACTAATATTTATCTTTGCAATCATTTATCCACTCATTTAACCATTAAGAACAGTTGGCTCTTGAACAATGTAGAGCTTAGTTAGGGGCACTGACCCCCTACAAAGTTGAAAATCTGTATATAAATTTTTTGACTCCCTAAAAACTTTACTAATAGCCTACAGTTTACCAGAAGCCTTACCAATAACATAAAGTCAATTAACACATATTTTAGATATTATATGTGCTATGTACTATATTCTTACAATAAAGTAAGCTAGAAAAAAATGTTAATAAGAAAATCATAAAAAAAGAAAAATGGATTTACAATATTTTTTGAAAAAATTCATATATAAATGAATCCACACAGTTTAAACTTGGATCTGTTCAAGGGTCAACTGTATACTTCTTGTTAAGCTCTTTGCCTATGCCAGTCCCTAGAGCAGAGTTTCTCACTCTAGGCACTATTGACCTTTTAGTTTGGACATTTCTTTGCTGTGGGATGTTATCCTATTTATTTTTAAAGGATGTTTAGCAGTATCCCATCCTCCCTAGATGCCAGTAGTACCAGTTGTGACAACCTAAAGCATCTCCAGATATTACCTAATTTCTCTCTGGGGCAAAGTTGCCTCTCTTTGAAAATCACTGTTCTAGTGATGCTGTGATAAGCCAAACATATATTGTCTCTAACCTCAGATACGTTGTTCAAATATAATCTCTCTGAAGTCTCTGTTGACCACTTTCAAAAAGTAATCTCTCTTTCCATAGCTCTCATAAAGCACTTCATATGTAACATTCATATTACATACTAGAAAATTTCTTTAAACAATATATAAAGTTCTACTTAATATATAAACTAGAAATTAGCAAGACATTTCATAAAATATTTTCAACTGATAATTTCTTTTCGTTTTTACTTATCTGCTATTTTACTCCATAGGATACCATTCACTTCCCTGGTAACAGGAGAAAAATCATGACTACCCTTTCAGTGCAAAAATATACTATCTGTTCTGTAATCAAAGTACATGCCAGATTTAAAGAAAAGTGATTATTGGCAACAGTACATTTTTCATTTTGACAGATAAAGTGAAATAATAGGTAAGAATGAAACAATGTCTCATTTTTAAACAGTCAGTGCATTTATAAACTCTAGAAAATGAAAGAAAAACTAAATAACTTCACTGAAAATTTCCCTGCATGGGAAATTTAAGGACTTTTATCTAGACTTTTTTCATCTGTAACTGCTTTTATTCAAACTCATGTTTGAATAAAAATTTTCACTACTTGAAGGTGAGGGGAAAAAAGTTGAGGAACTCTAAAAAAGTCATACAAATGGCATTTAGTTTAATTTGGGCTAGTTCAATCACTATATGCTATCGAACCAACTAGAAAATAAAAGGCAAGATTCTTATTGCTTTTTTATTTTCTAAAATGGCTATATTCTATATCACATCTCTTCTAATTTGGTAGAGAAAATATATATATTGACATCTTTCTTTTATTTTGAGATTTTTTTTTTTTTGGTCAGTAATGATAGGAATGTTTTTTGTTACATGTGTAATTAACAAGGTCTATGACTTCATTTAGAAAATATAAGAGAAAATATACAAAAAGTTAACACTGGTGTTGTAATCTATATCACTCTTTCTAAGACATAATTTCTAAGTCTATAGGACACATGATTTTTAAAATTTATTGATAAATACATGAATAACCTTAGTTTTGAGCCTGGACACCTGATAGGACTGTTAATAAGGAAAAATAAGCTAATAAAACACACACAGAAAAACAGCATAGTGATTTATTAATGTTAGCTATTGTTGAAATTAAAAGAAAAAAAGATTTATCACATATTAATAGAATTGGGGGGGGAGGGGAGGTCCCTTTCTAGAGCTGGAAATAATCCAGAGATCCTTTTCTAACAATTTTTGAATGGAAGAAGAGAAAGTTATTTTCTTAGTTAAATCAACCACTGCATTACTTTGTTATTTCATTGATGTTTGGCCCCTATTTAGAATTGTATCCATTAGCAACTTTTAAATGTTAATTTATCAGTCTATTATGTGTAAGTTTTAGATCGTCATGATGAACTCTATAATATTCACAATGAAAGATGAGTTAATTTCATCTCTTAGGTCTGTATTATGACTTCTCTTGGGCCTAAAAAAAAAAAAAATCATCCAGGTATTAAAAAGGAATATTTTTCTGAGACTTAGCAAATTTGAGCTGATTTCAGTGCCAGTATCATAAATTAAATATAGACCTGAGCTCATCCTTTCACCTTAAACTCTTTAAGAAGAAGAGAGTAGATGCTATGATCATTCCATCTTCAAAACTTATTCTATTTTTGTACAATTAATACTTACACATTAATTCAGAAGAGAATCTTGTAACATACCTGATGTGAAGAGATAGTCCTTGAGGGAGAAAAAATCTCATGGAGAATATAGCTTATGTACAAGGTATTGCATTCAACATTAATGAGATCTTCAGTACTCAAAGACAGAAGAATAGTAACTAGAAATATTTTTTTAAAGGCCAAGAAATTACGTAATTTGCCTATATGCCAAGAACAGAATATTAAGAAAGGCTTCCTACTAATTGGAAGTAGTACACTGGCATAGATTAAATTGAAGGAAAAGGTAAATAGACTGTGCCATCTATTCCTTACAGGTTGATTATGCTAAATAATAGTTTTTTCTTGGCAAAAATAAATTTTAACTAATTGTTGCAGGATGAAGGCAATGAGACTAATGTATTGACCTTATTTTTTTTTTTAACTTTTCATCTGGATGTCATTTCAGATTTACAGAAGAGTTGCAAAGATAATAGAGGCCAACTTCCCCTCATTGTAACATCTCACTTAACCATGTTACATATATGAAAACTAAAAAATTATTATTGGTATAAAACTATTAAGTATACTACAAACTTTATTCATATTTCACTAGTTTTCCCACTATTTTTTTCTATTCCGTGGTCCAATCCACAATATCATATTGCATTTAGTATAAAAACTTTTAATCCAAATGTTTTTTTTTTTTCCATACTTGTAACAAAAACAACTGATGACTCCTCACATTCATTAGCATAAATACGCCCATAAACATTTCTATTTTACCTGGTAAAATTGTGACCCAAAAGAGCAGAATAAAGAAAAAGAGATGAATCTTCATGATAGAGAATTTCTTAGGAAAAAAATGTCAACAGATCTTCTTTTTAAAGTCGAGTTTTTAAAATAAGAAAACAGAGAACGTTTTTTATTTATATATTCTCCTGGGAAGTGGTTCTAACTACTGAGGCTTATCAATAGCAAGAACATTTGTATGCTTGATTGAGTCGTGCTGTGTTCAAAGAACAAGGTCACAAAATTATTATTAATTTTTTCTAATAAAAGTGACACCTGGTTGTGTTACCTGAAACAGACTCTCATGAAAACACAACCCTTAAGGGACTCTTAAGGAATACGTGTTTGGATTGCTAAAACATCATCGTGAAAATGTTGCATGTAATGTAAAATATTCTAATGCTCTTAGTATTAAATGATTGAATATCTAAATCATAGAGTTTTATAACTGAAAGTTTCCATTGAGATCATGTTTGCTTAGAAAGGAAAACAATGAGAACGAGGGAGGTTAAATGATTTACCTCAATTCAGATAATATATACTTATTTAAAGCTAACATGATTAGGAAATACTGGATTCAGTAATGAGTATGGGAAGTACTTTTCACAATAAGTTTTTAAGTATGATATAAATTTCTTATATTAAATCGTCTGATTTCACAATTCTAGAGCCAATGTTTTTAAATCTGTTTATGGAACTGGAAGTGATTTTTGATCCAAATTGCATATGAACCAAGTCTATTATTTCAGGTACATGTGGAAGAGCTGGAAGTTTTACACAGTATCCAGAAGCTGATGCTGTAATCAGAGAACAATTAATCAATTCTCTCCTTCCACAGAGCCAAAGAATTTCTAGGACAGTGGTTCTTAACCATATATCACAATCCCCCAGAGGGCTTGTTAAAAACAAATTACAAAACTCCATACCCAGCATTTCTGATTTGGTAGGTCTAGAATAGAGTCTAAGATTTTACATTTTTAACAAGACTTTGAAATGCTAATATTGTTAAAGAGGTCACATATTACTCTAAGAAACCTGATTTATTCATTCTATAAATCTTCAGGGAAAAAAAAGAATCGGAGTCATAGAATCTATGTCATAGATTAGCAAAGAATGTGAAACTTCTTAGAGATTCTAATCAAATACTCTCATCTTATAGGTAAAGAAAGTGAAATCAAGAGAGATTAGCTGGCTTGCTTAACAGTCATTATCTATTACAAAAAAAATGTTTCAAATTATAAAATACAAATGGAAAATTTGGATTTAAGTCAAATGTGAGGACCTCGATTTAGCTGCACATTATTTCTGGAAAAGGAAAAAAACTCCTGAGAATTTAGCATCAGCTGATAGGAGAAAGACCACTTCAATATATCACTATGTAGCATTTATTCAACAAATATTTATTGAGCACTAAAATATGCAAAGTTAAAATTTACTACAAGCTAATGGCTTGTTGGAAGAAAAAACAGAGTTTAAGTATTAACCGGGAGGGTGGCATCAACCAAATGATGGCATAAATACTTCAAAGAATATGCCTCTCCAAAAAAGCAATGGAAAAACTGATGAAAACTGACAGAAATTATTTTTTCAAAACTCAAATAAACCTAAGGCTTGCAACAACTCAGAGAGTACTAATTTAAGAAAAAGTCTCCAATCTCTTAAGAAGAGTGAGCTTTGTAACATTTTAACATATCTTAGTCCCACCTGCTATTCCTCAGCTCAGCAGAAAACCCTGAAAAATAATGGTCCACATTCATGATGCCAGACATAGCAGAACATGGACAGAGGTATCCTGTCAAGTAGTTTCCTGGAAGACCCCCAGGTAATGCTTACCTTATTTCTCCTGATCCAGACCACGTATAGTACTAAAGATACTCACAATGAGGATTTTTCAAAAACATTTATAGGCAAATGTTTTAGTCACTGTTGTTTGAGGCAGTGGGTAATAGTTAGGGTAAAAAATAGACTTCCAAACAAAAGTTTGGAAGGTGAGAAGAGTATGAGGAAGAAGTCGTGTATAGGTGATTTGAAAAACTGACCTATTCCTGGGAACCTAGAAGGCCATTTGCATATTTCCATGAAGAAATGTGCACATATCCAGGTATATATGCATGCTCAGGAAAGACCTGAGGAAGACCTAGGCTTTCACCGCTTATTGATATTGAGGCTCCAAACAAGCAGGAAGTGAAGGCAAAGCAGAGATACATACTGCTTGGCTAAGTGTTAAATCATTCCGTAACACACACACAGATGACCTCTACAAAAACTGGGAGATTTTTAGGTTTCAAATATTTAAGGAAATCTCTGTACCATCGCTAGCGAACCACTATGATTAAGAAAAAGAGAATTCAGTGGCCCCACACAACGAAGAATACAGACTGTAGACATTAGTCAGAAAAGTCATTAAATAAAACAAACAACTACTACAAAGAACAACCACAAATCTTTGTATAAGGAAAGATTTGATTTCTGAAGTTGTTACGTTATAATATTTAAAATGTCTAGTTTACAACAAAGTTTTATAATGCAAAGATTATATATATATAATATATATAATCACCTCAGATCATCAGGCATCGGATTCTCGTAGGAGCACCGGTCCCTGCTGCCAGAAAGGATGGAGACTGCTATGCTAGATGAAGAATTTAAATCAGGTAATTAAAGTATGCTCAAGGAACTAAATTAAGCCACATCTAAAAAATTAAAGAAAAGTATAAGAACAACATCTCATCAAGTAGAGAATATCACTAAAGAGATAAAATTATAAAGATGAAATAAATAAAAATTCTAAAGCTGAGAAGCACAAAAACTGACATAAAAGTTCCCTGGAGTGGCTCGACATTACATTTGAGCAGGAAGAAAAATGAGTCACTGAACATGAAGTTAGGTCAATAGAGGTAATCCAGTCTGAAGAACACAAAAGGGGAAAAAATGAAGAAAATATACAGTTTCAGAGAATTGTGGGATACCAACTTAGACATATTGAAGTCCAAGAAAAAGAGAATAAAGAGAAAGGGGGTGGTAAGAATATTTGAAGAAATAGTGACCAAAACTTTCTAAATTTGATGTTAAACATTTACACAGAATATATAAGATGCAATTTGTGACAACAATAGGATATAGGGGAGGAGGATGAAGCTTTAAATGAGCAAAGTTTTGTGTAACATTTAATTAAATTGGTAACATTAAAATAACTAGATTCTTATAAGATTTTAATTATAATTTGCAGTGAAATCTCTAAAAAATAACTTTAAAAATACTGAAAGAAACAACCAGATAAATAAAATGGTGCACAAGAAAATATCTACTTAACCAAAAAAAAAGAATAATAAAGAGATTGAGGAACAGAAAAGACATAAGACACATAGAAAACAAATAGCAAAATGGCGGAAATAAGTGCTTCTTTTCAGTAATAAGATTAAATGGATTGTTTCTACAATTAAAAGGCAGAGGTTAATAGAATAAATTTTAAAAAATGAGTTGACTCATTTAAGATTCAACGACATGAGTAAGTTGAAAGTAAAAGAAAGTAAAAAGCTATTTCATGCAAGTAATAACTAAAAGAGAACTGAAGTGATTGTATTCATATTAGACAAAATAAACTTTAAGTAAAATTGTTACTAGGGACAAAAAAAGGTCATTTTATAATGAAAAAATGGTCAATCTATCAAGAAGATATAATAATTATAAACTTTATGTACCTAACATAAGAGCCCCAAAATGCATGAAGTAAAATATGACAACTGAAGGAAGAAATAAATAGAAAATTCAAAAATAATAGTTGGAGACTATCTGGCTTTTGATAATGTATGCAACAACTACACAGGTCAGCAATGAAACAGAAATATTAAGCAATACTATAAACTAAGTAGACCTATTAACTCACTAACTAGGTCTACTAACTAGCTAGATCTGGAGACCACTCGATCCATCAAAGCAGAATACATGTTCTCATGTGACAGTCTCTAAGATAGCCATATATTAGGAACAAAACAATCAATATGTTTAAATGAATGAAATAATACAAAGTATGTTCTTTGACTACAATAGAATGAAATTAGAAATCGATAACAAGTAAACTTGAAAAAATTTACAGATATATAAAAAGTAAACAATATACTCCTAAATTACCATTAGTTCAAAAATAAGTGAAAATAAAAATTAGAATATACTTTGGATTAATGAGAACAAAAATATAACATGCCAGAACTTATGGGATACAGCACATGCATATGGAAATGCAAGAAACCCTAACTAGCCAAAATAACTTTGAAAAAGAAGAATGAAGAGGGTTCACACTTCTGGCTTAAATACTTCGTACCAAGTCACAGTAATCAAGACAATGTAGTACTGGTGTAAGAAGAGGCACATAAATCAATGGAATAGAATTGAGAGTCCAGAAAAAAACCCATACATCTATGGTCAATAAATTTTTGATAAAGTTGTCAAGCTAATTTTGGGGAGGGGGGGCAATAGTTCTTTCAAAAATAATGCTAGAACAACTGGATATGGTTAAGAAGTAGAAATAACCCAACTATCCATCGCCTGATGAACGAATAAACAAATATAGTCTAACCATACAGTAGAATATTATTTAGCCATAAAAAAGAATAAATTACTGATACATGCTACAATATAAATATATCTTGAAAGCATTAATCCAACTAAAATAAATCAGACAAAAAGTCCATCTATTGTATGAATTAATTTATGTGAATTATCTTCAATAGTCAAATCCATAGAGACAACAAAATAATAAATGCCAGGGAATGAGAGAAGAAGGATTTTAAAGTAAATTGTAAGATGAGATTTCTTTTTGTAGTGATGGAAATGTTCTGAAATTAGGTAGTAGTAATGCTGATACGAAAACTCACTGAATTGTATATCTTAAAATGGTCGATTTTATGTTATATGAATTACAACAGACTTTAAAAAGAAGAATAAACATTATAAGAGAAAACATACCAATCTAACAAGCAAATTCAAATACAAAATGCTTAATTTTAGTTCTCAGTTCATAGAATTTCTTTTAGAAGGAAAGGAAATATA